TAGTTTAAGAAGACTGGCTGAAGCCCTGCCCAAACAATCTGTGGATGGAAAAGCACCACTTGCTACTGGAGAAGACGATGATGATGATGAAGTTCCAGATCTTGTGGAGAATTTTGATGAGGCTTCAAAGAATGAGGCCAACTGATTTGAGTCAACTTTTGAAGAAGATAAAACATGATGAAGTTACTTTGAGCTGCTATTTTATATTATGACTGCTTTTTAAAATTGTTTTGTTTATGGATCTGATAAAATCTAGATCTCTCATATTTTGAAGCCCAACAAGCCTTTTGGACATTGCAGCTCTTTTCAGTTTCTGCTTAAGTGTAATTCATTCTTTGCAGCTAAATAAGCTGAAGAAGCCTGGGAATAAAATTTGAAACAAAGGTTAATAAAGGTCTTTGCCTAGTATTTGCTTTTTATTACTATTACTTCAATAATGATGATTTGTACACAGAAAGCAAAATCATTTATAGAAAGCTAATTTTGTCGTGTAATAATGGCCAGTGATGGAATTTGATTAAAGATTTAGAATAGCTTAATGTAAAAAAAAAAAAAAAAAGAAATCTACAAAGATCTCCATTTTTAATAGTCAATGGAAAAGGAGGAAAATAAGACTGTAAAAAAGAGCAGGGAAGAGACCCCGGGGTAGTAAATGTATTCCAAGCAGCAATGGGAGGCCAGGGGGATTTGTGGGTTCAGTAAGAAAACAAACAAGAGATGTGGACTTTATGCAAAGAAGTGGTAAAACATGACTGAATGGAAAGCCAAGGAGATGAGAGCCCAGAAAGGAGCAGGGACTAGCGGAACCATACACAGGAGCCCAGGGAGGGCAGGAGTCAGTGGGGCAGCCAACGCCCCAGACAGCTACAGTTGCCAAGCAAGGTGCAGGCAGGGAGGGGCCGAGGGGCACCCCAGCCTTCTCTCTCCTTTCTAGGAATCTACCTTCCCCCCACTTCCTTTCCAACTTCCTGTCTTGCCCTTGCTTTTCTGGGAAAAGGGAGACCAGCGTGGATATCCCTCCCTCCTTACGTGTTCCTCAATTCAGTCTACAGAGATCGGGCTAAGCAGGGAAGGAAGGGCCCTGCATCTGAGTCACCACATAGTTGAGGTTCCTGTCACCATAGCCCCGCCTCTGCTACACCCCATGCCCTCTGCTCGCCCCAGGCTCAGGCGGACTCTGCCCCAGGGATTGCTCCACTCCAGCCCGTGTGCTCCAGGTAGCTGGGATCCACACCCAGGCTGCGATTAGACCTCAAAACCTAGTGCACCAGTACGTTTTCATCCCTCAGCTTCTAAGTGACCTCTCACTCTTCTGACTTGTGACTCAGGACCTGGCTGCGTCAGCAGTGGAAACACTGATGCGTACCCCTAACAAGTCACGTCCCCCTTGGGCTTGTTTCCTCATGGGGAGAATATGTGGAGGACCTGTGATGCTCACACCTTGGTCCTTGCTGGTCCTATATTCTCCAAGTCTGAGTCAAATCATGAGTCAAACGGTCATCCCAGAAGAGTGAGAGAAAGGGGTGTGTGTGCTTACCCCGTCCTAGCAGCCAGCAGGGTAGGTGGGGCAGGGCAGGGCAGGGCAGGGCTGGACCTGGGCACAGGCACTGTTCCCACAGGGCAGTCACCACTCCTGGCAGTTCAATGACTCAGGTCTCACATGGAAGACTGGCAGGAAAGCACCCTGTGGGTTCCCTTGTGAGTCAGAGGAAGTTAGGGTCTCCCTGAAGAAGGCTGGCCAGGCCCCGCTCCAACCAACTCGCCCTTCCAATCCCAGGGCACAGCCCGTCTTTGATGAGCACCATTCAGGCCTGATGCTGCTCTGCTTCTTCCCCTCAACCAACCTTGGTCCTTCCTCCTCAGCCCTCAACTCCAGAGCTGCACCTACCCTCCAATGTTCCCTCGGGCCCTGCCACCGTGTCCCCTGGTTGCCCCTTTGGTGCTCTCTGCCCATACCCACTATCCACCCCCCGCCCTGGCAGAGCCAGCCAGATGATTGCAGAAAGGGCTGAGCCAGCAGCGGCGTGGCCCTCACATGACAGCTGTTGCTGCTGTGGAGGGGAGGGGGCAGCTGGAAGGGGAAGCACGTTCCAGGAGAGATCAGAAATAGCCCCCTCCCAGGAACTGCACCCCATCGTCTGCACAGCAATGCCCCACCCTACCCACTGTGCAAACAAGGCAGGGGAACAGCCCTCTCTGGATTCCTGAGGAAATTGGGAAGACAAAGAGGGGCGTGGGACAATACTGAGCCTAGGAACATCAAAAGATTCCAGAGTCACTGAGAACATGTCATCACTAAGCACGGTCACCTGCCCCAGAAGCTCCCCCTGGAGGAACTCCCCACTGCTCTCACATCCCTTGGGTGGGGAGGTGCAGGGACACCCCAGCAATTCCACTGGAGTAACTCGGTGGCCTCCTCCGGGAGCCATGCCAGCTTGCTGGAGCAAACAGACAAGAGCAGGTGGCCTCGAACTTCCCCGGGGTGTCAATCTTTCAGCTTGAGAGCAGAAAGGAGACCTGGGTGGACACGCAGGATGACACGCACAGACCATGGTGGGTTGCGGCGCCCTGGTCCCTCTGGTGGGGTGAGCCGAGATGCCCTGGGAAAAGTAATTCCATGCACACGGAATTCCATGCAAGGCAGGCTCTGGATTGTGAAGTGCCCAGTTGCCATAAAAACCAGTGTCAGTTTCAGAAGTGACTGGGTGGAGTCTTCAAAGCACTTCATGCCTCTCCCTCAATATTCTAGACCCTTCCCCCACCTTTCAAAAGGGGAAGTGGCACATTCGGGGCATGTGGGCAGCTGGCAGGATGGGTCGGACCTGGTGAGTGCAGCAGCTGTTGAGATCCTGCTCAAAGGACATGAGGCAGAGGGGGAAAATACACCACCTAGGCCTTGAGGAACTTCAGTCTTTTAACCTTGTAGTAACTTAAGCAAAATTGCCAACCCGCTAAAATACTCAAAATCAGTGCTGACTTACAAGCTGTTTGCAGTTCTGCAAAGGTGCTCTCTTGCCAATCACACCTCTGAGCCCCTTCCTTCCTTTCAGCTTTTCTGAGACCATGCCCCTCCCCAGTTCCAGTCCTCAACCCAATCAAACAACCCTGCCCTCCCAGGATCTCAGCCCCAGCGTTGTCTAAAAACATACTGGGCAGTGAGCGCAGAATGGGAGGAGGCATGCCAGTTGTAGATGGTAGAGGAGCTGCCCCGCGCACCAGGAAAACTGCCTAGCTACCACAGCTGTCCTCCAAGTGCAGACTCTGATTGGCCGCACTTTCCAGGGGCGGGCACATGGCACTGGGAGGAGCCCAACCCCGAGGACTGAACAAGCTAAACCCACGCAGGAGGGGTGCAGCAGGAGGGGTGAGGTGACTCAGGCCTCTCTAGGGCAGGGTGGGGATCAAACCAGCTCCAGATGTGCTCCTCCTCCCGTCCATGGATAGTAAGGCCCTGCGCTGCCCACCTTCCAAATGTCTCAGCTCCCGCCCCACCTCAGGCAAGAGAGAGAGCCCCTGCAGGACTTGGCCTCATCCAACAAGCCAGTGCCCACAATCCTGGCCACCCTCGCTCTGCACCAAACCACCACCAGAGAATGGCACAGGAGGCAGGATGTAGTGGTGAGTCACTCTTCCTGCAGGCTCGGGGAGCCAGGGGGTGGGGGCACCTCCCCAGCCAAGAGAACTGCAGGGCTAGTCCCTCCCCAGCCAAGAGGGCTGCAGGGTCCACCCAGCTACTCTCCACTTCTTCCAGAAGGCAGCTCTTCTCGCACTGGGCCCCACACCTAACCTACTTACACAACTTGGGTCTCTCCTGCCTAAAACTGTCAGCTGTGATTTAAGGGGACACCATGAAGGTAGCAGAGATTGTGCAAAAGAGGAGGTGTGGTGGGAAGCAATTTAGGAAGGGAGCCTGACAGGTTAGGTTAGGCCCCAGAACAAGCTCAGGTCACACCCCAAGTCAGCACCCAGAATCTGTGGACCCTGTGAACAGCCCAGGGTGCTCAGAACCAAGCTGGAAACATCTCAGATCGGGCAGCCTGAGGGAGCAAGGTCTGAGCAAGAACCCATCTACCCCCACTCCCAGACCTACAAACCACACCTTCCTCCCACCCCATCACCCACAGAATGCCAAGGGGCACCCACCTACAGATCACAGGCCCACTCCATCTGACCCTCCCTTCCCAAGCCCAAGTCTGGATTATATGGTGGGATGAAGGACTCACACAAAACCCTAACCCAGACACCAAAGACAGAGCCGGGAATGTTCGAGAAGAAACTCACTGCTCCCCAGAAATGGCAGTGGACTTAGGGCAAGCATCTCCGAAAAGGCAGTAATCAATTATCTCAGAAAGAAAACTGGCAGCTGGCCCAAGCAGGACACTGGGTGACCAGTGGGAGTGCCCATCATTTCCAGGAGGCACCCCCACGTGTGTAGAGTACAAGCCAGAGAGAGAACCACCTCCAGTTAGAAACGCCTTCACCACCTAAGATGTGCCATCACAGGCTTGGTTACTAAAATCTGAACCCCTGCCACTTTAGTGTCAAACCTGGCTAGTCACAGACCGATGACTGACGGGAATAGTTGAGACCGGGTGGTCCAGCCTCATTATTTTAACTCCAGCCCCGGATACGACCATCTTGCTCACTGGGCAGGTCCTCTGGGCACTACCATAGTTGGCTCACTATTCCCAAGTATTTACTCCCTTCAGAGGGAAAAGCTTTGCATCTAGCCCCCAAGAATGAAGTAAACACACGCATTTGTCTGCTAGCAATCTGTGGGAGGAGGAGCAGTGAGACAAAATAAAAACTGAGGAGAGGCCTCTGTTCCTGCTCCTCTGAAGACTGAGAGGCTGCAGACAGAAAATACCCCGCTCCCCTCTGCAACAGCCATCCCTCACTAAGGAGGCAGGGACATGGAAAGGTTCAATGTTCAGTTTCCTTTAATGACCCCTATTCCCCCCGAAGGGCAGGTGCAGGCAGCGAGGTGACAAGCCGTTGGCTCACTTGAAGATCTTGCCCTCTTTGACGGCCTTGCCCACGTGCTGGAAGGCCCCCTCCCAGGAGAAGTACTCTCGAACCAGCGTCTGGGTCTCCTCACTGCTAGGATCCAGTTTCCGCCACGTGTAGGACTCGTAGTCCACCTGCCAATCTGGACTCAGCTGTGGATAAAGGGGAATAAAAACAAGCTGTCAGGCTACCAGACACTGACACCACTGTAACTTCCAGCTCAGACTCATGTCATCAAGCCTGAGGATTCCCGTGAATGTAACAGCTCAGCTCCTGCCCGTTCACCTTCTGAGGGCTTGCTCCTCGGTTGCGAATCAAACCTCACGCTTCCCCTTCTCTTGGTCCACCCCAAAAGACAGAGACCCCCTCCTCACCAGGAAGGCAAGCTCTTGACCTCTGAAGACCCACACTCCAGAAATGGAGCTGCTATTGTTGGTTCCAAAGAGGATGACACTGGCAAAGGCGTTCTTCCGCAGCTTATCCAATCGCTGGAACATTCCTAAAGGGGGAGGGGACAAGAGTCAGCCTTTGGAACCACACCCAGTGACCCTGCTCCTCCTCCTCCTCTCCCCAGACCGCCCCCCTTCTCACCAGTGATGAGGTTGCAGCTCATGAAGGTCTGGGTGAGCTCCTCAGGGAAGCGATACTCGGCATACCATAAGGACCAGCCGTCCTTATCAAAATGCTCCCAAAAATGGGGCAGGGCCACAGTCAGCGTGTCCTCATTGGAGTACTTGCGCTTAAACTCGTCCAACACGAAGGTACTGGTTGGAGGGGAGAAAAAAAAAACACGGGGGGTCAAATATCAGAAGAGAAACTAGCACACGTCATTGAGCTGGCAGATGTGTACGGATGAGCTGTAACAAGAAGGAAAGCTGAAGGGAGCTCTGGTGGCCTAGCGGCAAGAGGCTGCACTGCAATCCCTCAGGTATGTAGTTCAAACCCACTAGATGCCCTGCTGAAGAAGCAGGGGCAATCTCCTCCTGTACCAGTCAGATTTCATTTGATGGTACACACACACAAAAAATAATTTAAAAAAGGAAAGCAGAAAGACTCTTCACAACATTAACTAACAGATGGGACGTGGATACTCCTTCTCCCCCACCATGCATGCTAGGCAAAGGCCAACTCGTAGAATGAGCCTGGGCTTCAGGAAGGCCACGGCCAACTGCTGCCCCCCAGTGGACATGCAGGCTGACAACACCTTTTATCCCCAGTCTAGCTCCTGGGACTGTTTTCCCAAGTGACACTGGACTTCACACTCTCCTTTACCTCATCACTCTTCAACAGCAATGGAAGCAGTGAACATTTTCAAAGAGCCTCCTCCCCCACCTCACACTATGTCCTCTGGTCTCTCCACTCAAGTAAGTCCAGACCCTGAAAATCCTGGCGGGCAAAGCTATCTCGGATGCAATCTAGCACAGTGAGCCCAGAATGCTGGCATCGGGCCCATGCTCAGGGGTTCCCGTCAGTAGACAGGCGGTAAACAGGACAGCTGTTCTTTCCCACAGGTTTTTCTTTTGATTTTAACAAAGATGAAATTATGCTTCATCCAGTTTTATAGTTCTGGTTCAATACAGCCTTCTCCTTTTCTGTTATTACTACTGTGACATATAAAAAAAGTCTTTGCAAAGACCTCTAAGTAGTATCTTCTCCACTGATGTGATGGATTTATTAAACTTTCTTCGATGTTTACTCAGCTCCACTAGTCGCTATCATAATGTTTCGATCATCACCACTGCAGCTTATGAGTCAAAATCAGAAGCAAAGGACGCCACTGATGTCAGTTGCAACACATAGCAAACCCCGTCTACGGAAGTTCTGTGGCTGTCAAACATCATGGGAGGAGAATGGTCATCTTTGTCCCAGGTGGCTAAGGCAGATTCAAACCACAGGGAGACGTGAGGAGGCCCTTGGGTTAGCTGTACACTCGCTTCCAACCAGCCAGAACTCCACTGCGTGTAAACAGAGCACCGAAGGAAAACCAGAGTTTACCTCCCCACTGGATTCTAAAAGCTGCCTCTCTAAAAGGAGTCTCTAATCCTGGTCCTGCCGTGGGCCAGATACCTCTCTTCTATTCCCCAGTCTGTCACTTCAGACAATAAATGTAAGATGTCTGTGTCTGAAAAGATCTTAATTATCATTGTATCTTTACAACAGACCTCCACAGGCAAGCTCTGGTGGCTAGTTGCAAGAAGCTACACTGCAATCCCAGAGGTATGCAGTTCAAATCCACCAGATGCTCTGCTGAAGAAGGAGGATTAATCGTCTCCTGTACCAGTCAGATCCAATTTGACGGTACACACATAAAAAGTAATAAAATTTAAAAAAAAATTTTTTTTAAAAACCCAGACCTCCACAAACATGACTAAGGTCAGGTCTATCAGAAAATGTAGGCCTGTCCCCCCATCCTGGGACCATCTTATGATAAATGGAATGGCGCATACCTTTGACCAATCCTGTAATCCCACCTATGTGTTCTAGACATACAGCTGCCCAACCCTCCCTTTTAACAACGCTGGTGGGGTTGAATTATCAAACAAGTATCCCATTCAATCCTTACTACCTCCTTCTGAACGTAATGTTAAGTGGTACCAACCTGGCCAATGCTACACAGGAAAAGACAACCTGTCACACATCACCACTAGGGATCAGAGGTCTGGTTCCTTCCTAAATCCTCCTCTGAGGAGCTTTAAAACCTAACCAACCCAAAAGTCACAAGGGATTCACACACACACACCTGCACGCTTGCCATTAGTTTCAATCAACTAAGTCTAAACCTTATTTGTCACCACGTATTAATTTTCCCTGTAGGCTCTGAGCAGCTTCTGAAACAAACATTAATTGAAGGCTTTAAAGAAGCCTAGATATACGGGGGAGCTCTGGTGGCCTAGTGGCAAGAAGCTGCACTGCAATCCCAGAGGAACACGGTTCGAATCCACCAGATGCTCTGCCGGAGAAGGAGGCGCAATATCCTCCTGTACCAGTCAGATCTGATTTGACGGTACACGCACACAAAATAATAAAAAGAATTTTTTTTTTAAAAAAAAAAAAGAAGCCTAGATATTTCAAGTCCTAGTTTTTGTGACATTAACAATCCCAGAGAAAATAATTTACAAACACTAAAAAAAAAAATTTCCAACATCATAGAGAACAAAGGTGTTCAGTCCACTACCTGACTTAGCCCAGAGTAAAGACTTCCTTAGCAAACGTGAAAAGCTCTTACTGATTACTCCCAGCTTCTAGGTTGCCTAGTAATCTGGGTTACTTCCACCTCAATTTATTTATGCACAGCAATCCACGTCCTTGACCTAGCCCTGTGCTGCTGTTGTTAGGTACCATCTGAACCCTGCGCTATCCTGTGCCATTCTCAACATCTCTGATATACTTGAACCCACTGTTACCCCTATCTCTCCACCTCTCTAAGGATTCTACTCTCTTTCATGGACCCTCCACCTTGGAAACACGTCCTTGTCCAAGGACTGGTCCCTCCTAACATGTATGAAGTATGTAAGAAGCAGCTACACCAGACTCGCCTCTAAAGATCACCTTGGTTGAATTATCTCAGCATTCCTGAAGATAGTACACTTCTCTAACACCAACTCCTACGAATCCGTTTTTGTTTTGTTGTCCTTTTTCATAGCAAGTAACTGGAAAGACCATGACTTGAATCAGGGACACTTCAGCCTTTAAACTAACATCACTGCTCTTTACCACTTTGGCAAGGTTTCCCCAACACAACATGTTTTCCGACGTCTTGACTGCTGGTACCAAGAGCATTGACTGTGGATCCAAGGAAGATAAAATCACTGGCAACTTCAGTTTTCTATCATGATGCTGTGTACTGGCCTGGATGACAAAGATTTTTTTGAAGCTGAGATGTAATCTATATTGAAGGCTGCGGTCTATCTTGTGCAGTAAGTACTTCAAGTCCTCTTCAGTTTTCAAGCAGTGAAGTTGTGTCATCTGCTTAATGCAAAGAGTTTGCTTCCTCCAAACTAGATGCCACTTTCTCCCTCATAATACAGTCCAGCTTCACAAATGTTCAGCATGGAGACTGACCAGGAATGGAGAAAGGATACAGCCCTGACGCACATTTTTCTTGACTTTAAACCACACGGTGCTCTGTTCACACACAACAGTTGTTGGCCTAGGGTCTCCCAGGAGCACAAATGACTATAATCAATCACATTACCTACAGACAAGTCAGTTTCAACTCACAGTGATCTTCCAGGCAGCAGAGGTGCTTTGTGTGGACTTGCTGAAGCCCACAGCCTCATCTCTACCAAGAGGAACCACCAGTGCATTCAACCCCAGGCTGTGGAGCAGCTGAATGCTGGAACCACGGCATCACCAAGGCCATGATCACACCTTTCAAAATCCTCTCTCCATACTGTAGGAAAGTACCTGAAATACCTGTGGGTGAGTAGGTCCTCCAAGTGCTCCCAAATACAGAAGAGCAGATTAACAAATGCACACTTGGAATGTCTAATTCTTAGCCTCACAGCTGATGTGACCAGCACTGGTAGGTTTATTACAAGTCTAAACCCTGGGTGAGCTCTGGTGGCCTAGTGGCAAGAAGCTGCACTGCAATCCCAGAGATGTGAAGTTCGAATCCACCAGATGCTCTGAAGGAGGAGGGACAATCTTCTGTACCAATCAGATCTAATTTGATGGTACACACATTTAAAAAAACAACAGTCTGAACCCACAGACTAACTAAGAGTACGGGAAGATGCCATATTCTTTATGGGGGAGATTATGGCATTGAGTTTGGAGACTCAACCCACGTTATACAAAAACAAAGCTGATGACTCAACTGCAAAGAGATGAGGCCTTGAAGTACTAGCTGAGGGTGAACAACTGCAACCTTCAACACAGATTCAACGGAGACAAGCAGAGAGGCCACTGCCGGAAATCCTAGTAAAATGAAGGTAGTAAGGACAGGTACTAGGTTCCTTCTGGTTCATAGTAAAATCTCCCTTGAACTATTCTTTCTTCAAAGTATCATCTCTCAGGGCCATCAAATCAGAACCAACTCAAAGCTGACAGTTCAGTGGGTTCCCAAGGCTGTGAATCACACGGGAGATTCGCCTATTTCTCTCAAGGAGACACGGGTGGGTTTTGAAAACCAAAGAGCCTTGGCCTTTGGGTTAGCAGAGCAACTCCCCAAGGGCTACTGTTAGGTGCCATCAAGCTGACTTCACACAGCGACCATGCGAACAGAGCTGAACCTTGCGCTATGCAGTATTCAGCATCATCCTCATGGGCTGTCATCCCCAGCCCTTGTTGGAGTTCCCGGCTCAATCCATTTTTTGAGGGTCTTTCCAAGCATGACATCCTAAAGACTGGTTCCTCCTGCAATTAATTATGTTCAAAGCAAGACCAAATTTCACCACCCTTGCCTCTAAGGAGTACTCTAGTTGCACCTTTTTTTCCCCACCACTATTTGCACTTCTTGAAGACAAATTTATTTGTTCTCTGAGTAGCCCGTGGTATATACAATACTCTTCACCAAGACAATTCAAAGGTAATTCTTTGGTCTTTATTCACTTCCAGATGCACAGGAAGCAACTGAACAGACCAAAGCTTGGACCATGTCTTTAAACAGACCTTCTTGTTCCTTAACTTTTTTTTTATTTTATTATTTTTGTGTGAGTGTACCGTCAAATCAGATCTGACTGGTACAGGAGGACCCTCCTTCCCCGGCAGAGCATCTGGTGGATTCGAACCGTGCGCCTCTGGGATTGTAGTTGCAGCTCCTTGCCACTAGGCCACCAGAGCTCTTCCTGTTCCTTAACTTTTGTAAGACTTTGACAGCAGATTTCCACAACGCAGCAGCAAGTCTTTTCATTTCCTGACTGCTGCTACCTAGGGTGTCGATTATGGATACAAGCAAAATGAGATGGTTGATAATTTCAATTTTTCCACCATCTATCATGACGCTGTCATGATCTGTCCAGTGCCAAGGATTTTTTTGTTTTGCTTTCTTTTGTTTGTTTGTTGTGTACCATCAAATCAGACTGACTGGCACAGGTGGGGACTGTCCCTCCTTCTCCAGCAGGTATCTGGTAGATTTGAACAACAGGCCTTCAGGATTACAGCCGAGTTTCTTGCCACTAGGCCACCAAAGCTTCCTTGTTTTGCTTTCTTGATGTTGAGTTATAATCCATATTGAACCATGTAGTCTTTGTTTGCATACTCACTGGAAAGGAAATATAGTCAACTACCTTTTAAATTCCTTCTTCTTTAGAGGTTGAACTCTCCCAGCTGAAGAAATAATGAACTAGACAGATACTGTGTGGTTATGGCCATGACCCTTTCTTGTAGTGAGCAACTTCTGTATAGTCAGAATCCCCCAAAATCAAAATTACCAACCATCAAAGAGCACCCCGCCCCAGAGCAGAACAGGCAGATGCAAGACTCTCTGGACCCTCTACAAGGCTAAAACGGAACCTGACCATTTAATTAAGGACAACCTCACTGTGATGGCGTCGCATCCTTCCTTAAGTTTCTGACATTCATTTTTATGGGAGGAAGTTGTCCATCTTTTGGCCACAAAGAAGCTGGTGCATTTGCACCATTAACCTTGTTTGTCAGCCCTTGCTAACTGCACACATTATGCAGGGCTCCACTTAACTTAGGACAATCAAAGCTCCTGACACGCTCCAACTACAGCATCCTCCCCTCAGCCAAGCTTTACCTTTTGGGCAGGTGAGCAAAGGGGTCCTTGGCCTTTGGCTCGGCAGCGAGTGCCTGCTCACATTCGTCCATCTCCTCCTCGGGAGCAGCGGCAGCTGCTGCCTTTTTATCTTCCTTCCGCTCAGCCTGGGCCTTCTGCTTCTCCTCCCGGGATCCCTTCTCTTTCCGTGGGACATCTTTTTTAGGCTGGTTTTCTGCAAACTTTTTAGCTAGGACAGAGGGCAAGAGCAAAGTGAATTCATGCCCTTTTCCAAATCCTTTTTAGCCACAAAGACGAACCCAATCCTCAACACATATTAAAGAGCTGAGAGCGTGTGCGTGTATAAAAGAAGTCTTGTATACCACTGTTACTATATTTGATATTCTGTGAGTTCACACAATTCAAGAAAGGAATCAAGAGGCCTGCCCTGGGCCACCCACAGCTTCACCTCACACGTGCTTCTCTAGCCCCTCAGACTTACCATCGAACTGGGCCATCTTCTCACAGAGCTTCACCTCCCCTAGGACTGCCCGGAACTGAGGCTGGTTAATGCAGGTGAGGAACCAGCGGTTGGTGTTAGGAAAAGCCTGGCGGAAAGCTGGCTCTAGCACCTGTCAGAGCACAAGAGGGGGAAATGAAGTCAGGAGAAAGAAACGGACTTCTAAGTTTCGAAGCCAGAATCTTCCTGCTCTTTCTACCCCAGTGCTCCCCTACACACCTCCCGTAACTGCTCCCCCCACAGCAGTTGCCGAGGTCCGTCTTAGGGGCTGTGGTGGTAGGTGTCACTGAGGAGACTTCAGGGCCCAGCAAGCAGCAGCTGGCAGAGACGTGCCCGGGATGTTCTAGACTATAATCATCACAACAGTTCACCTGCTCATTTATCCCAAGAGTCACTGACCAGATGCAAACTACTAAAACATGTCACCAGTGCAAGTCTTAACCATTTCACAATCAAGAATACTTCCAATTTGGTTTTCCAACCTACTTTTTACCGAGCTCTGGTAGCCTAGCGCTAAGCAGCTGTGCTGCGATCCCAAAGGCCCGAGCTTTGGGCAGGAGGAGGATGGGCAGCGTAAACTCTCTGGAAGGGCAGCCAAGGGTCAGACACAACCACCACAACTCTTTTTCGCAATGTAGTCTACATTCACGATTCTTTGACCCATCTGCCATTCACTGAATTAATGTTAGCAAGCTTAATATTCCTACAGTACCGTGCTCCTTTACAAAGCCATTTCGTATTTACTGGACCCAGTGGTAAACTTCACACATCAATAAATTATTTTTTTAAAATATATGCATGACAATTTGAACAAGGGATGCACTGTGAGATGGGCTGGGGGAGGAGGGAAGAAAATGTACAATCATGAGCAATAATAAAAAAATATGGGGACTCACTAAGGGCTAACAATCACTATTCTGCCAAAATTTGCTACTATTTATCAAATCTAAAAAAAAATATAAGATGAGGGACTGAATAATTTAAAAGCGATGTATGATAGGGTATTATGGTTATCACAGGAGTCCACAATTAAGGCTGCATAGTGGAATGTACTTGGGGCGGTGGGAGGGGTGCAGGGGGATTGTGTACCAGGGAGT